CGAGCATTAATTTCGTTAATGAAATTGAATGATTCGATGGGGTTTTGGGTCCTTTGTTCTCGTGGAAGACAAATCGACCAGGACTTTTTCACAGGCTGCAGCATTGAACAACCAGGGAGTGGTCCAGAGGGATCCAAGTCCATTTGGCCCGTCCCACGCACTCCAGACAACAACGAAATTTCAGTCTGGATTTATCGTAGGGTGATCATCCCATTTTAATTCTCCCCTGGACAATTGTCGCGGAGGGTCAATGCACCTTGAATCTGCTAATGGCGGAGAGAGATAAAGGAAATGTGTAATTCTACTCGTTGAAATTTCCACGGAAAAAATAACCAGAAGAATTCACCTAGTGCGGACTCTTTTTGGCGGGGATTTTGATTTACTTCGGTGGGGAAATATTCAGGTGTATAAAATTTACAAGAGGTAAATGATAAAGAGAGGAGAACAATTTCCTCGAGGATTGTTGGCCCAGGGGAAGCGTCTTCTCCCTGATTTATGGCGAGTTCCGCTTGGGCAATCACAGACGGGTATATTCAACTCAGGAGAGGGAAAAAAATCACCAGAGGAATGAGGGAATGGAGGGAATACTGAGGGCTTCACATTCGTAAATCCAATGCTGCACTTATCCAGACTCCGATAATGCACCGCTTTCTCCAGTACTTCTCTCGCAATTCCCCCGGTAAAAAAAAATTGTTATCCAAATATTTTTTCAAAATTTTCAAAAAATTTTGGGAGAACTTTTCAGAATTTTTTTTTATGAAACCAAAAAAATTGTAAAACAAAACAATTTTATTTTTACGAAAGGCTTTGAAAAATTTTTCGAAAATTTAAATAGGAAATTATAAAAAAAGTTTTCTAAAACAAATTTTTGAAAAATTTTTCAAAACATTTCCCAAAACTAAAATTGTTTTGTTTCCCGATTTTTTTTCTTTCAAAAGAAAAATTCTCCGAAAAATTTCCAGAAATGTTTTGAAAATTTGGAAAAACTATTCCGAGTACAATTTATTTTTCACCGGGGAACCGATACTTCAAGCATTATTTTTTTTGTGAAAAATTGATAAATTATCCAACAATGAAGTTAAAGATTTTTTTAGTCCTCGGTGGGTAATTCTTTGGCGAGCGTTTAGGCCTTCCTCTCTTTCGCTGTATTCCCCCGAGGATTATATGCACTTAGAAGATACATGAGCGTTACATAATTTCCATATAACCAGCGTGAATCTATGAAAGCAGTCGAATGGTCCGAGACAATGGCCGGTGGTAAATTCGTGGGAAGAATCTACAGTGAGATTAATGTGAAGTACAGCGTGAGGGATAAATAAATGCGGTTTTAGCGCAAAAAGATTGGAATTCCCGAACATTGCTGGGGATACGTGTGCCTCCACTTCGTGTTTGCAAGTGGTGTCGTCGGTTTCGTTGGGAAAAATAAATATATTGTGAGTTAAGAATTATTCTGGTGGATCGTAAATTGCCTAAAGGCGATTCTCCGCCGTTTGTTTCACCATTGTCGCGCCTTTTTTTTTCAAACATTTATCTTTTTCAATGCAAGTCTCAAATTGCCGGAATTAGGCCATGACAAAATATTCAAAAATTCCCGGACATTTATTCCGTCAGAATTTCCCTAGACTTTTTCCAAAAAAATTATTCATCAGCAATTCGATATCATAAACGCAACATGACTGCGACATAATTTATAATAACAATCTCATAACATTAATAATTAATTCCAAAATTTTTGAAAACGTAATCAGATTTTTTTTCATGCAATGACTAATTGTTTATTGTTTATTGTTTTCACTGTTGTTTTTTAAATGAGTGAGTCATCGTCAAATATTTTCGGTTAATAATTAATTTTTTTCTGGGGAATTTTTGATGGATAAATGAATTAAATGAATTCCAGTGGAATTCGCCAATAAATTGGATTGCCCATGATGGGGTACCTAACGGCGCTGTTTTATTTTCATTGTGCGGTTTACGGTGATCTCCGCAGGCTTCTGCGTTTCCACCTATCCCAGAATGATCGGCAAAAGTGTGTGATTTTTTTTTTATCATCGCAGATGTAAAAAGATGCATTTGAGAAGAGGCGCGAAGGACACGTTTGTAACGTGAGGCTCCTGCCAAGCGATTCCAGGATATTTATTGTCCTCCATCTTCCCTCTCGTATTGTATTATCCTCCAGCCACAGAAAAAGAAGAATCACTCCACTATTTTCACATTATCAAGTGTTAAAAAACGCGAAGACAAGTGGCGCCGATATTGTTGTTACCGAGAAATTCCATGATTGAAAAAAAGTACTCATTTGGTTTGTACTTGGAGTCGTTGATCCCTGGGATGCGACATATGGCGACATTAGACGTGAAGAAACGCGTCGGGGATATTCTCGGTTTAACTAGGGGTCTAACCATCCTCGGGGAAGCGACAACTTCACCGCGTTACAGTGTACAGAGTGACGAGAGGAAAACGGACGTACGTTTATTTTAATTGGAGCCCCCATGGCTCGAGGAGTCTTCAAGGACTGCCGCTAGACTTGTACCTGCTCCTCACCTTGTCCATCGATTTTATAATGCCATCCGTTTTTTATTCCACCAGGATATAACTCACTGGTGATGCGATGGACATTTAGAGTGATTGCCATGCAATGACAAAAATTTAGATAATTTCGAGGGGAGGGGTTGGGGGGAGAGTTTCTTGATGCTCGCCGTGCAGCAATTTCTGTCTTTTTTTTTTCTTTTTTTTTTCTTTTTTTCTTTTATTCTTCTTCTTTCGGACGGAGTGAGATCAATGCTGGTAATTAACGCGCCGTTAAACTGAGTATTTGAAAACTGTGATGCATCCCTAGATGTTGTTACCCCCCAGGAATCGTGGTATCGTTGCATCGTGGCATCAAGGGGGGCCTGATGGTCCCAGGACTGAGGACTGAGGGCTGAGGACATAGGTGATACTGAGAATAGGTGGGGTGGCCCCGTAAAAGGCTCTGGCCGTTAACGCGTAAGAATTCTTCACTCCGGTATACGGGCATGACATGGCCAGCTATTAAAGTGATTACACCGAGTGCGCCCGGCTCAAGTGCCGTAAAGTAATTATTATGGTGGCCGTCTACTTTCGCATTAACATTTATTCATTGCGTGTATATATATGAAGGATGGGTTTTGGTTGGTGGGATGTGTGTATGGTGTACAGCTCGCGTTTCTCAACCCCAGATTATCCGAGAGAGAGTGAATGGGGTTTTTGAGAGAGTAGAATGAAGAGGAGATGCATCCTACACTGGGATACTCATGCTTTATACATGACATGGTAGCTAGTCTAAAATTTTTACGACCACAACTGGATAATGCTCGCATAAGGACCCCTATGTACCCCCTCGGTACATGTGCGCGAACGTGCCTTTGGGGCTTTATGGATAGCCCTGAAAACTCTTTGGTAACTACTTAGAGTTTAAATTTCATGATTCTCCGAAGGTGCAGTATGCGCTCTTGGCTTCGCAATACGGGGATGAAATTACCCGGCGATTTTATACTCACAAACCAGTCAGGGGGCCGAACCGAGTTATTATACAAGTGTTACGACCAATTGTTGAAACATTGGAAACTATTTCGCGGTACTTGGTGGCTCGTAACGGGAGTAGAAAGGGCTAAAATGGAAAGAGCCACCAGGCTACAGGGAGGAGATTATTATTATTATTAATTTCATATTTTTTCATCCAGTTGAAAAAATATCTGTCAGCATAAATCAAAGTGTTTCACCCACTAGTTTGGCCAGAGTGTTCTGGATATGCTCAATAAATAATAATAATCGCTCGGGGGCCGATAAGTGACGCCCATTGACCACCATTTATCAGTAATTCGAGACGCGCACGGTTGAGGGCGCTTTTTCGCTTCTGCGCGTGGCAAATTATTGGTCGGCGGGAAAAACCAGTTGGCGATCTAATTCCGATAGGTATGTCCTCTCACGTACTAACTCCCACAAGTGCATACCAACACAAAGTACGTTAATAAAGTACTGGTGACTGTCGCACGGAGTATCGAAGTACTTGTTTGTACCGCCCACGCAGCTAAAAGCTCTTATCGGCTCTTCTACACGATAACCCCCGATGGCAATGCCTACCGCTGAGCAATATTTTCCAACAGTTTGTAACCCCTCGTGGTGCTACTATCCACGTAGATGCATCTGTCCAGATCGTTTATGCTAAATCCCACATACACAAGTTGGCAATGGGTGGGTTAAAATGGCGGATATACTGGCATTACGCCCTATCCTTAGATTAAAAATTCCTATTTTGACGGATTTATGGCTAGTATCGGTGTTGCCATCGATTCACCATCACCCTGTCAGCATCGAGTAATTTCAAATTTATTCTCACTTTTTCAAAAATAAAATTATTTTCTTTCCCCATTTTTTTTTCTTTCAAAAGAAAAATTTTCCGATTACAATTTTTTTTTTTACTCGTATATACACGTAAGAAACAAAATATTGAAAAAATATTCAGTGTAATAGTGCAATTGCAGTGCAATTATATTGGCTGAAAGGTTGAACGGAAAAAAAAATTCCCAATAGTTTATGGAATGAAATAATCCTCGCGAAGATCGCATTTATCTCGATAGGGATTAGACAAATTTTTTGTTATTACTTTATGAGTGGATTTTCCTGTTTAACTTTGTTAATGACTGGATAATTGCGGGGCTAGTGGTTCAAGTTAATGTGTACTCGAGACGGTGCTGGGAGGTATATTGCGAACACCAGCTGGGCGAGAGGCTTGACAAGGGTTTTACTGCCCTCGCGTGTACTCCCCCCTGTCATTAAAAAATTTTCCCCACTTCCTCAATAAAAAGTACCCGAGGACGGGTATTTTTCATGGTGGCTCTGTTCCAAGTGTCACCAGTGAGATATTAATGAATGGGCCGCTCTTAAATCAACAGGTGAAAGCCCCACATGAATAGATTTAGCAAAGAATTGATTTTCACCCGTGAGAAATAATTTCCAGCGTTGATTTCCATTGGTTACAGGTCGGATAAAGAACAGGATGAAGATCAGGATTAAGACAGGATGGAGACAGGAAGCAGTTGATGCGTTTCCAAGTGGCTAATGCCGGGTCGTGCGAAAGTCAAAGTGATAATTCAGTATTGAGAGATGATCAGGAGGCGCAAACTCACTCGCAATCACCGGTTAAATTCAATACTGGAAAAAGTGAAAGGATTGAAAGCATTTCTGTGTCGTTTACACGGCAATAACACAGTGTACGTGCATGAGGCCGGAGTACCTGGAGTTTGTTGAATTTCTTATGCCATCCCGTCCGATGAATAGAATGAGGAGTCATTGTCCCCGTGGGAATATTATCGATGACACACTACTAAAATCCCAGAGGGTAAAAATAATTTTGGGTTAACAACGGAGGAAGTCACGATGCAAATATTTCGTTTAATTCAAAATTACAGTAAGTGAGAGATGAGTCAAAGTGGACCAGGTTAATCACCAAGGGAAAAATTGTATCAACACGAGTCTAAAATCACAACAGACTCTCATTATCTCGAGAGGTCATCCTCGTTACCTAACGAATTAATGAGATAATTTTGTTACAAACCACAAGCACCATGTACACCTAAATGGCGAGGGTCTCCTGTGGATAAATGTGACGCAAGCTGTGAACGCAAGGCCATGAAATTTTCACTCTTAAGGCATTGCACGACTCTGTAACAATGCACTTACTCTGTATTTTTAAACCCCCCATTCCCCCCTCACCCGGTCTTCTACTCTCTAATTAACGAATTAATTGTCGTCGACGAATGGCGTTATCGCGAGCACCTCTAACCGCTCAAGAATTCAAATTGCGGAAAATTCTTCAAATCCCATGACACAGCATTTTTTGCATCAAATTAGTCATGCTAATTGTTGTAGAGTATCAAGGTCAGAGGAAAAAAATAAGCAATTGTAATTGGATATAGTTCATGACTGGATAACGAGAGTGAAAAATGAATCAGTGGATAAAGACGTGTCTGGTAGGGCGGATACACCCCGTCGTGTTTCCGGTGATTCAAAATGATCCTCAGCTTTCCCACGGAGTATCTACCCTACCTGGGATATAGATTACCTCTGGATGACTCCCTCGGGGAATACAGCCAGTGTACACACGCTATGGATCTCAAGACGGTGAACGTACCTGAAACAAGTAAAAGAGGAAACCGGACTTTAATTAGACCGCCATGGAAGAGGTAGAGCGCAAACTGGATTATAGATCGTCATAAAACAAAAGGACGATGGATATAAATTGGATTGAAATTGTGGCTGTGTGTTAATTACCCGTGGAATTGGATGTGGAGGATGCCAAGGTGATGTTGATTTCGGTGAAATATTAATAGTGAATTAATTTGACGTTGGGAATTTGGAGTGATGGGCCGGGGATAATCATGACGAACGAACCGTGTACGAAATATCAGAGGCGTCGGCCACTTGTAGCCTCTCATCCATCGCCAACACTTCCACTGGCTAATCATCCTGACCACCCAGAGGCCCTTCAAAATTCTCCAGTGAACCAACTCCAACGATTACAACCGTGTGAACCCTGACGGACGCTCCAATCGTTAAAATCAGAGGATAAATAAAGAAGGTATTTAAAAACATAAATAAATAAAAATCACGGTGAATCCGAGGTGCATCACTCCACGGTATTTGCATGTTTTATAGTCTCGATATACGCCCCGGTTGTAAACCGGAGTGCATGGGCGGATTTTGTTTCGTATCTGACGTGGATTCATAGCTCGTCGCTTCTTCATTAAAAAAAAAAATATTCCCCAAGCCACAACCGCCAATTACCTTTTGATACACCGAGATTTAGGGTTAAGGGTCGGTGATGATCACCAAAAAATCCTTGAACCACCATTTGCTCTGTTTTTTAATCAAAACCGGGATGATGACGTGTCATCGGGACAATCGCATTGAAGAATTCGATAGTGATCGATAAATTTCACGGTTGAAATATCGGCAACTATTAATCTCCCGTATTGATAATCAATTTTGATCGGCTATCGGATAATTATTGACGCGATAAAGGTGAAAGTATCTGATGGTTTAAAATGTAAAATTTATTATACTATAACAATGTGGTGCACCTCGGGGGATGGTAGATATTGAATGGTGATTGGGAATCGAGATATATTCGAGATATATTCGAGATAGGGCTTACACACGTCTGGGAACTCGAGAAAAATGGAAATGGGATGGTAAAGACGTAAAGGGATTATCTTTTGGTTTCTCTCAATCGAAATGCACCACGAGAAAAGGCGAATGTCGGGGTATATACATATAGGAAAATACAGTTCGTATTCAGGTTGCATATATATCGTTTACGGAGAGATATACGATAGAGAAGTTTCGCCTCTCACCTGCGAATACACAACGCACGTGGGAAATATTATATGCCTATTGCATTGAGTAAGGAGATAGGCTCGAGTTGAGACGCTAACGAATATATTTCAATCCATTTGCAATTAGATAAATGAGGATTCGACTAAATTCACTCGGGCCTCATTGCCTCCATCGATTATCGATAGATGAGAAACCAAAGATATCGCCATTTTTATTCCTTCTCGGATTTTATTATTCCGCCAAAAATCCTAGGATAATTTTCCCCTGGTGTATCGTCATTGAAAAAAAATATTTTTTCATTAATAAATTGTTTAATGACTATGGGAGAATTTAACATGTTAGAGTGATAATTAATTTCAGGGGGAATTATTGCCGGTGGAAATTTTGAGGAAGGCCCACCGGCCACTCATTCTATTTGGTCAATTGTATTTTTATAATTACAAACAATCCCGATGGGATATAAATTACTGGGTGGATAAATAAAATAGTGAGAGCGACGAAGAAGGTGGAATAAGGTGGAATAAGGCTACTGGCATATCCAGCGAGGGTTAAGCTGTAAACTCGATGGGTAAAAAATTCAGTTGAACGTGTGTATAAATATATACCTCGGGCAGCGATTACAAATTTTTTTTTTCATCCTCACTCGAGCACCCAGGGGATCTTTTGAATGCCATGCCGACCACTGGCACCTGGTACTTCATCACCCGATAATGCCTCCGAAATGAATAAGGACCCCGAGAAAACCGAAGCACGTGAAATAATCTCCAGGGGGGAGTTTTGAATTTTTATCTTATCCAATGAAATCTTGTGACTGTTCAAACACGTGTTATCGTCGAGTGAATTTACGCGGGATATTTCTGATGTCTCTATTGAACTGACCGTGTCATTAAGCCCTCGAGGGATCAGTGTAACACGTGAGTTGACCCTGACACTGGACTGGGCCCGATCGAGTCACCTGATTAAAACTGTTCTCCACTTTATCTCCAGTCACGACGGACAACAGGTACGACATTGTCATTATCATTTGCCTTTATTCACTCGTTATTTTAAAAATTTCTCGGAAATTCCCCAGCACTTTCACCACTTATCCGTCGGTGCATGAAATTCATTCGCACAATCACCTTCAACTGCACGAAAATCATCTTCAGGGGCAGGTGAATGAGAAAATTTTAATGGAGTCGTCATGTCCGAGTGCCACTTCCTCATTTCAAGGTCTGCATCTTCACATTTCCGTGACAATAACGAGGGAAACGAGGTGAGGTTTTGATTTTTTTTTAATCGTGTAAATATCGCTTTTAATTTCTAATTTCTCTGAATGGGGTAAAAAATATAGATGGTAGGCGATAGCGAAAGGATCTTTGGGCCTGTTGGGCCTCGCGAGGGCTCGTTTCACTTTCAAAGATGCGGCAGTAGAGACGCGCGCATAAGTTGTACCTCCACAAGATCTCAAACGTCTCCATACAACTCACTGTAACAGTCAAGCGAATTTGCTTTTTCATTTCGCAATTTTTTTATTTAAAAAGACTCATCAGCGCTGGTTCATCCCTCTCTATGATTAAACAATTATCGTGCGAGGTACATAACCGGTGAGTTCAGAAAAAACTCGTTGCACGTGAAAAAAAAATGGAAATTCCTATGAAGCGGATTCTCTAGAATTTGTACTTTTTGTTTTTTTCTTTCTAGAATGAAATTGCTAATAACTGGCTATTAACAATTTTTCCATTGGATGAAAAATAGACCGGAGGTTGCAGGTGCGTTTGCCGGGCAAAAAGGGCGAGTGAGGGGTAAAAGGGGAAAAAGGGAGAGTACACCGACGATTTTATCGAGGAGAAACCTGTTGGAAGAAGTGTTATTGCGGAGTGCCGTGTATCTCGCGCGTACGATCGCTAATAAATTCCATGGGAGTGCGAGGGGCCCTAGGCCCTCTCGCATTTCAGTCTTCAAGACGTTGCGCGCACCCCCGACGATTCTATGATTATCGTCTCCTCGTCTCAACGTTCGTGGCATTTTTCAACTGGTACTGGCTATTTGCGCCGATGAAGATGTTCGAAAACACTTTTGCCAACCCGTGAGAAATATTCGGTAGAAACTACAGGACGATTTAGGGGAGAACCGGGCAAATGAGAAACGAATGGAAAAAAGTTTTTAATTCATTTCAGGTGAGTTTTTATTTTTTTACTAAAATATTAATGAACTCTTAGTGATTCCTCGTGCTTATTGAGATGTTTATAGACAAAACATGAATGTGTTGTACCCAAAGAGAGAGAGACGCCACATGCTCCCCTGATACATTTTTGAAAATTTCGAATTTTTCAATTGCAGTGAATACCTCCTCGATTTTCATGTTCTCCTGATACTTTTTTAAAAATTTCAAATTTCAGTGAATACCTCCTCCATTGTCATGTTCGGTGAATCTTAGAGTGGCGTGATAAAAAGGGTTGGTTTCATTGTGCTTGTGTTTATTTTGATTGATAACGAAAAACAACGAAAAAAAAATGTACATCGAGCGTTTAAATCAAAGAGGATTGACTAAAATAGAGGCTCAGTTCTGGGGGTGTGAGCGCCCCACCCTTTGCATTGTAGTACATCCCCCCAAGAGAGAGGGCGCCACAAGCAATGGGGGGTGCTGCACGGCAGAGCCGAGTCAGTGCCTCAGTAGTAGTCCAGCTGTCAGAGGGACTAGTCGAGGGGGTAAATATTATTTTCTGCTTTACGAAATTCGTATAAACTGAAATTTAAAATTTTGAATTTCAGTTAATACCTCCTCAATAGTCATGCTCTCCTGATACTTTTTCAAAAATTTTGAATTTTAAAATTTTCCGTCAATATCTACTCGATTCTCATGTTCCCCTGATATTTTTTTGAAAATTTTGAATTTTTAAATTTCAGTGAATACCTCCTCAATTGTCATGTTCTCCTGTTACTTTTTCGAAAATTTTAAATTTTCAAATTTCCGTGAATACCTCCTCGATTCTCATGCTCCCCTGATATTTTTTTGAAAATTTTGAATTTTTGAATTTCAGTGAATACCTCCTTGATTCTCATGCTCTCCTGATATTTTTTTGAAAATT